CATAGATCATTTACATAAATTATGAACAGTTTGGGAGCCAGGACTCACCCCTGAGCAACCGTACAAACAATGTCCAAACATCCAGAACAAACATCTCCCAACTTCACATACTGCTGGCTGCCTTTCAAATAGCTTTGAATGACAACCTCAGCTGGAGCAACACCACCAGCCTGATCAAGAAACCACATCAGAGACTCTACTTCCTCAGGCGGTTGAGGCGAGCTGGTCTGGGAAGCTCAGTCTTCACCTCTTTCTACAGGTGTGCAGTGGAGAGCATTCTCTGCAGAAAGAAAAGCTTTGCAGAGAGTGGTTAAGGCTGCACAGAAATCTGTTGGAGTCAGTCTCCCCACCATCACAGACATCTATACCTCTAGATGCAGGAAGAGGGCCACCTGCATCAAGAAAGACCCCACTCACCCAGCACACACACTTTTTGCCCCGCTCTCCTCAGGCAGGAGGTTGAGGAGCATTAAGTGTAGAACCACTAGACTGAGGAACAGCTTCTACCCTGAGGCTGTTAGACTCATGAATCTCTAACCAGAATAATCACTGTGAAAAATCACATCATGTTGCTGCTGATCTGTTTCATGTTGCTGCTGATCTGTTTCATGTTGCTGTGTTCATTCATACTCATCTGTACTACTAGTGCTTAGCATATTTTTAGTTATCATTTTTCTTAGTTCATATCTTAGCTCTTAACTGTTTTTCTTTTACATTTTCTATTTTTGTTGGATGTAACTAGGACCCTGTGTACACGATTTCGTTCCACCACATGTACCACATGTGGTGCATATGACAAATAAAGAAACTCTGACTCTGATACACACACACATATACACACATGAAGGCTGAAAGCAGACCAAGAGGTTGATTACCAACCATAATGTGGTCGGGTGTAGCTCGCCATCAGTTGTAGAACGTTGTTAACAGGGGTGACAATAAATCCTGAACTAAAAGGTCAAAAACATAAATTAAGTACATAGTCAAATAAATTAAATTAGCTTTATCTTAAATGGTTTGTTACCATTATAAAAACAAACATGTATTCAATAAATGCTATATTTCATAAACATTTGACTTCATAATTCAATTAAGGCACATTTTCAAAATGTTTACTCAAAATCAATTGGCTTTAAGGCTAACAAATGAATCAAGCATTAGTTTGAAATAATTGTTGTGCAACAGGTTCAAAAAATATGTAGCTACCAGTATAATTTAATTCAAACCGAGCCAGTACTAAACAGTAAAACCACCACTGCTGCTGGAGTGGTTTGTCAAAAAGTAACAAAAATACTTTAAAATAGTTCAAATAAATTCAACCAAAGATGTCATTTAATTACTAAAGGTATGGCCTTTTATTTGGATTACTTATTGAGTAACTTTATTGGCGTATTAAATAAATACATGGTTGGTAAGTTCATACTGACCAGGTTAAAATGCAAACAAAATCAGCCGTTATCTTTATGGAGTCTTGCATTGTAAGTGCTCTGATTTTTGATACAGTGTTAAAACAGCTACTAACGCACCCAACAGTATTTTAAAACAAAAAGGCAACTCACTGTTGAGTAGATGATTTAATAGTTTCAAATTTATCTGATTGTAGACACACCAAAGTAGCAAAAACAGCAGAGTGCAGCCACAACACATCCACAGTGAGCAGCAGACTTGACGCAGCTCCGGTTCGGTGTTCTGTCGGGTCAGAAGACAGAACCATCACTCGGTCTGAATCCAGACCGACCAAGTGACCTCTTGCTTAAAGCGTACCTGCAGCCAAACTGGTTGTGAGTGTCACTGCAGCACGATATGTTCCCGAACAAAAACAAAATAAATCATTTCCGGAACCTGAAGCACACAATGGTGCAGAATCAGAATAAGCTTTATTATCATTGCACCAAGATACAACGAGAACACGTACGTACAGTCGTCCGAAAGATGGATGTAGTGCACGAAGCTGCTGCTAATTAGTGCGGCCCTCTTATTCTTCTTCAGAATAATATTTTTGCTTAGATGAGACAAGGGAAGAAAAACATGAGGAGAGACGGTATAAAAAAAGATCTCTCACACCTTGTCCTAGACAGGGCACCATCTGAGGCATCAAAAAAACTACCACAGCAAAGCACATAAATAGACGTGACACATGTTCATATAGACCGGTAAAGACATTGAATTTTAAGGGAAAGTCATAGCATAGTCCATACCCCCCCCCCCCCCCCCCCCCCCCCCTGTCCAGATAAGAGGTGTTTTTTATCATCAGCTCGGCTGAGGTTCCGTCACATGTTCATGGCCTTGGGGAAGAGAGGGGTGAGGAGACAGACAAAGCATCTTTGATTTTCCTAAACATGCCAGGAGGGATTGAGATAAATCCGCCGTCAAGGCCACAGTTTGGGTCAGGCAGAACTTGTAAATTGCAATTTCTGCCTTTTAAAGTCTCGCTGGTACATTTTCTGATGGTGACTCCAAACAGCCAAATTGATTCCTTACGCCAAAAGTTGAGCTTACAGCTTTTTCCAAGATTATTCCAACCGTTCATGGGTGATGCCAGAAAGTTCACAGTCCAGATAACAGCCTGCTCCAGCTCTCTGACGCAGCTCCACATAATTCAGTCTGTGTGCTGCCAAGCTTCAACACATCCACACAAATTTGTAGACAATCCTGATTTCACAAACCCAAACAGCAGAATCCAGTTGTCATCATGAATCCAATTTGTTTCCGTCGAGGTAAGAGGGTCCTCCTTACCCTGACTCCTGTCGGGAGAAATTGATCGATTTTGTTGAGAGACCAGCTGATCAAATCCTTTGGATTAGGAAGGTATGCAGGAAAAAAGAGGCTCTTTAAGGGTTCACAAGATGAAAGAGAGCAAAGCGGGTGTGTGTGTGGGGGGGGGGGGGGGGGACAGAGCACAGGAGGACACGTCTGTCTTCATCGGAGCACAGAGAGAGAAAAAAAGATTGGTACAGCTTGCATTCGACATGCCCCCAGGCGCCTGTATCTGCACACAGAATCTTCCTATCTCTTGTAACGCAGCGTAATAACTGCGCATGTGCAATTTTTAATAAAAGTCTATGGATTAGATTCTTGCACCCCCAGGGGCTGGAAATGCAAACTACATCACCAATCAGACAATGTTTTTTGAAACAAACAACGTAACTCATCATTACCTATAAAATATTTATCATGTACAACTAAAAAATATATACATATATTTCAAAATATTTTAATTTTATTATTTCATTTTTGTTTAATTTTTTTAAGTATTCAATGTAAAATGGTGAGTAGTTCCAGTAGTTCCAGTAGTTCCAGATGGGCGGCGCCATAACACTCCCTGAGATGAGCCACCCCTGGTTAAGAGAATGCTTGAGAGAAGTGGAGCACTACGTCTGTAGCTTCTTGGCACTTAACTGTGACACTGTAAGTAAAGTGCTATGTGTTGTCATCATTGTATGTTCCCATACAAAGATGAAATTGGCTCTCTGCATTTAATCCATTGCACCTGGGATACACCCAGGTGGAGCAGTGGGCAGCTCTGTAAGTGCCCGGGGAGCAATTCAATCCATCTTCTTGGCATACAGAGGTTTTATGGCTAGATAAGTACCACAGAAGGAAGATCTCCTCTCCTCCTCACCCACCAAGAGACACAAGGAAAAGATTTCAAGCTCCAGGCTGTAGTTAAAAGGCTGACGTCTTGTTGTTGGAGTGCTCGCCTGAAACCTACTCTATTGGATGATGCAGCGTGCTTTACCCCACCTATCTATTTCTATGTGCAATCTTGTCTGCTTTTCTGTCCAAAAATTTGAAAATTTTGATGAGTTTGGGGGGTTCCTCTTTGGAGCAGTGCATTCTGTCAGTCAGTAGAAGGTCAAAATAGAGAATCCAGATCAGTGCGAGTAAAGGATCACAAAGCCTATTAGTTTAATAGAGTGACTTCCTGTTTCTTTGCTGATTGGACTACAGTTTCATAGCATTCTACCAAACCTCTGAGTGCCTCAATGTTTACATCAGTTGTGAAAAGAAACACACACAAAGTCTGAAAGACTCAGGCCTCAGCCTCAAAAGGGCACCCTCAAATGTAATGTGTACTATAATAGTGTTTGTAATCCATGTACTAGTAATGAGATGAGAGGTAATGGGCAGCTGTCCTCTGCTTCACTTCACTTCAACTTTAACTTTAGTAATACATTTGGGGTAAACTTTGGGAAAAGTGCCAGGAAACAACACTTCCTCTGAGATGGAAGCACTTCAGTCTGAAGTCCTGACTCTTGAAGCTCTCCACACAAAGTAATGCAACAGGAAATGACAAAGTTCTTCTGAGTCAACAATAGAAGAAAAATCACCAATTCATCTCTTTTTGCTTCCTGTTATGGTTGTAAAACAAGTCATACTCAGCACAGCTACAAAGATTGCAAAGAACCACCTAAAAAACGCAAACCCAGACGAAGTATGGTCAATTTTGATGTTTTACTTTTTCACTCTGTTCAGCTACAGAAAACACAAAGCAGCCCCAAAGGTTTTTGAGTTTCTTAAGTAAATCCACATCCAGATAAATCCCATCATGTTAATCAGTGCAACACTAAAAAATACCGGGTTTTTTTGTCACAATAAAGAAAAAGACAAAACCAGAAGATAACTGATCAATGAGGTGAAATAACTAAAAGTTTAATTAATGATCACAATGACAGAAAAAAATGTTAGAGACTGAACCAAACTGTTCTGTAGAAGGAAACTAAGAAAAACTGTATGTGTGTGTCTAGACATACACACATACATACATATATATATATATATATATATATATATATATATATATATATATATATATACACT